TTTTTTTTTTTTATTTAAAAAGCTTTCAATACAGAAGTATTATTATAGCTAAACGATTAAAATAAAATTATACAATATAAACTAAGATTATACAATAGAACTAAAACTATACAGAAGAGAAAAAAAAAAAAAAATTTTTTTGTTATTAAACACAATTAAACAGATCGTTAGATTAATAAATAAAACATACTCAAAATACTAAAAAAAAAAAAAAGAACAAAACAAATTAGACCTAGGATATTAAATTAACATACAGAAAAATATTATATAACGAAGCCAGCTGAATGAACAAAGGAAATTATATATATAATTATTGAGGAGGATTTTGTATTAAGGATATTAAAACTATTAATGGGTGAAATATTAAGTGAGGACAGGAAATTGAACAAGAGTGAACGGTTATGTTGTAAAGCTGGGCAATCAAATAGTAAATGAGGAAAATTACAGGGGACTTCATCATTGTGTTTAGGGCAGAAGGGGGAATGGTTTAGTGACATGTTAAAGGCATGACTAGGTAACCGATTATGACCAAATCTAAGACGGGAAAAAGAGGTAATATGGAAACGGGACAGAGGGAGGTTATAAAACCAAGGACGTTTAGGGATAGTTGGAACTATAGATTTATGCCAGTTAGCTAAAGAAAAATTAGACCATTTATTTTGCCATGCTTCATTAATAGTTGTATGAAAAGAGGAAAGGAGATCGGAAGAGGGAATTTTATTATTAATTTTAACAATAGAAGTTATTGAAGATACAGTTATAACTTTATTTGACCTTTTAAGATCTATATCATGAAAGTTATTATCTACCATTGAGTTTACTAGAACAAGACCAATTTTAGACACTTTATGACAATTAATTTTATCATTACCAGAAATTCTGGCTGGGTTGACAAAAGAGAACATGAGGTAGGTGAAATGAGGAAATCAGTGACAATAAGCGAGAGTGTGAATGGGGAGGTAATTCACACTCTCGCTTATTNTGCTAAATTCAAGTTATATGCATTACTAGTGCAAAGTAAGTATAGACAAATGTATCAAACAAAATTTTTTTCCATTTTCTTATTCATTTTCCCATTCTAAATTTTGATAGAATATATCTTCAACAAAAGTACAATTTTCTTAATCTTCAATCTTTATTTCTATTGAATTTGTACACCAATGACCTTTGCAATGTTCACATATAATAGAACATTGAAGCCCTGTTTTTCGGCAGCCACAACTTTTACCACATCCAGCACCAGACTAAAGGCCGTTTTATGACAATTATCTTTATTATTAGCAGAAATTCCGGTGGCATTTGACATAATATAATTGTTGTTTAGGAATGTACAATTTAGCGTTTAGTTGGGTTGAAACAATATAGCGTCAAATCAATTACTTACTCTATCGGTTGTATCTTATTATACACTAAGAATGCTTAGTTGGTTGAGTGGAGTGACAAGAAAAGATAGAAAAGGAACGAGCATATTAGAGAGAATGTAAGTGTAGCGTCAATTGTGTATAAGATGAGAGAAAATAGACTTAGATGGTTTGAATATGTTATGAGGAGAGAAGAATCGGAAGCTGTAAGAACAGTTATAGAAATTAATGTTGAAGGAAGAAGAGGTAGAGGAAGACCAAAAAAGAGATGGAGGGATGCTATTGAATGCAATTTGAGGACAGTTGATGTGAGCGTAGAAGATGTTGGAGATCGTGTCAAGTAGAAGTTAAGGATGAGGGTGGCCGACCCCAAGTAGTTGGGATTAGGGCAAAGAAAAAGAAAAAGATTAGCAAAAATTCCGGTGGCAATTGACATAATATAAATGTTTTTTAGGAATGTACAATTTAGCGTTTAGTTGGGTTTAAACAATATAGCGTCAAATCAATTACTTACTCTATCGGTTGTATCTTATTATACACTACACTTTAATGATACTATAAATAAATAAACTTACACATACACACATATGCATTTATAACATTTTGTCTAATGTAAGTATAACATGATAAAAAGTAACCGTAAAATGAAAAAAATTGGAAAATAAATTTTAGTACTCATATTAAATGTAATGTATCTCGAAAAATATTTGTTTAAATGAAAAAATATAAGATACCTTTTTTGTTTAAAATTGTTTTTTAAATAACTTTTGTACGAAACTTTTTTTTGTAAGTTAAATATTTTTTGAGAAAATTAAAAAAGCTTATATTTTTGAACTTTTGCGAGGCTGTAAAAAAAAAAGCTCAAGTCCAATCGATGAGGACTTTTAGTATGTCATTATACATATCTTAATTCAACTTTTTAAAAAAAAAAAATTTAGTTGGGAATTTTTTCCGCCATTCGCCAAAATTACTCCTTCGTTGACTGGCCTAATAGAGATATAGATAATAAAATATTATCTGTGTGGACAAATGATTATTTTTCAAATTTATTATAAACATCTGAAACACCCTTCTTATAGATAACATGAATATTATTATCAAAGAGAGAGTTATTGATAATAATATTTTGATACATCAAGTGTAATTATATAATTCGTTCTATACGATATTATGGATAATCAATCTAAAATCATTGTTTTCAGTTAAATTAAATTTATTTAAAATTTAAGATCATTAATTAACATAATTTTAAATTAAATTTGATAGAGATAACATTTAAGTTGAAAAAGATATTAGTTTTTTTACAAAATGTTTTCAAAATGTGCATCATTATTTAAAATGCATTTTTCTAGACTATTTATCATACCAACCGTGACAGACTGTATCATTTCTGGAGTAATTTCACTACATGCCGACAGAATTCTTTCTTTTAAATTTTCAAGGGACGTTGATGGTTGAGTATACACTTTATCGTTTAAAAACCCTCATAAAAAATAATCAAGTGGTTTCAAATCAGGTGATCTTGGTGGACATTGAAGAGGACCATTAGTGCCTATCCATCTATTGTCATAATATTTGTCCAAATATTTTTTAACAATATTAGCATTGTGTGGAGGTGCACCATCTTGTTGTATCCACATTTTTTGTTTAATATCAAGTGGTACAACCTCCAATAACAAAGGCAAAACATCAGTTAAAAATTTCAAATGGCGTTCACTTGTTAAGGAACCGTTATAAAAGTATGGCCCTATTAATCTTTTATTTAACAACCCACGCCACACATTGACTGACCACCTCACTTTAAAATGTGTCTCTAGTGTCCAAAATGAATTTTTATCGTTCCAATAATGACTATTGTGCTGATTTAACATTCCATTATTATCAAAACAACTTTCATCAGTCCATAATATATTAAAAAAAATGTTACAGTCATCATCAAAATGAAGTGACATTTTTGATATAAAATCAAGTCTTCTATCAAAATCAGAAGGTTGCAAACCTTGTACACAATGTACTTTGTATGGATGATGTGAATTTGTTTTCAATATTCATAAGATTGAAGTTCTACCTATATTGGTTTCCTTAGTTACAGATCTAGCTGAAGCATGAGGATTGCTATTAAATGCTGCTAAAACGTCTATACTGTGTACATCATTTGTTGCTTTTTTTTTGCGAGTTATTTTTCTTGTTGGAAAACTACCTATATAAAGAATTTTTTTTTTAAGCTTTGATGGAACTTTTAAAATTATTTTTATTTGTAATATTTTTTATAAAAAATATAGGTATTAATTTTTGAATATTGTGTTTTATTATTAGTTAAAATATTCATACCTGTCTCACGTAAAGTTTTATCTATATTTGAAAAAGTATTTCGACTTGGTTGTTTCCTTTCTGGAAAGTTTTTAGAATATGGACGAGAAGCATTTAAAGTACTTTTTTTAGCTAAATAATATATTTCTAGAATGTCGGCATATTCAACATAGCTGTACATAGAATGCATTTTTAATAAATTTATTGTAAAAAAATGTACTTAAGTAATGAATGTTAAAAAAAGGTAGGTGTACTATGGTTAGTTCTTTTATTACTACTATTGTTGGTGAAAATTTTTCCCACTTGATTCAGGTCATTATCTTTTATTACATTGATATTATCAAAAATTCCGAGCTATTTTTATCTTAAAAAATAAGTTTTGTGTAATAAAGTTTCAGCGCACTTCTAATGCTAAAATGTCTTTTTACAAAAATTATATTGATTCAGAAAATATAAGAGTCGATCGAAATCTGGTAAGACACTAATTTACTCAGAAACTATTGAGAATTTTAATTTTTTTTGAAAAGAAAAAATATCAAGTTCAAAAAACTCTACAATAATATGTAGTCAAATCATTATTTTTTTCGTCCCTTTAGGGATAAAAACCCTTATTGATAATTCTTAAATGAAAACCCTTTTTAGTTTCGATGCGAAGTGAGAAGGAATTAGTTTTACTATGATGTGTTTTTTTTTTTTACTGTTACCACTTTTTCTCATCTCTCACCGAACCGATTTCTTTCAATGATACGTCAAATGATCACAAATCGTATCTAGTCGAAGATATTACCCTCAATAATTGAAAAAATTTCCCTCGTTCCCCAGAAAAATTATAGAAGTTTTAAGAAAAAAAAGTGAAAAAAATGACATAATTTACCGATTTTAAAAATTGTAATTTTTTTTTATATTTCCCCTATTTGTGAAGAACGAGAGAAAATTTTTCAATTTTTAAGGGTATTATCATCAATTAGATACGATTTGTGATCTTTTGACGTATTGTTGAAAGAAATCGATCCAGTGAGAGCTGAGAAAAATTGGCAACAGCATAAAAAAAAAAAAAAATATCATCATGGTAAAATTAATACCTTCTCAGCTTTGCATCGAAGCTAAAAACATTTATATTAATTCAGGTCAAAGGTTATCCTAAGGACACCTTACTCGATCAAAAATACGCACGTCCCGTGGAGGAAACCTTATCAGATCGTCTTGCGGAAGCTCCGCGGTCCACCGGCTTCGGGTCAGCTGGAAGCGGAAGTGTTGGAAAGAACGGTAGATACGCTCTTTTCGACACATTCACCCCTGCCTCCTCCGGCATTCGAGGATGACGTGTCGGTGGAGGAATTCACCACCCAGGGGGAAGCTAACGCGGTGGCGCGCGTGCGGGTTCGGAACACTGCTCCCGGCCCCGACGCGATTCCAAACCGGATGTGGGGGTTGGTAAATGACCTAGCCCCGGCTTGGATACGCGCCGTTGCAAAACGGTGCCTCGTGGAAGGTGAATTCCCCATGAAGTAGAAGAAGACCAGGTTGGTGCTTTTGAGAAAGGGTGACAAGTCGAGGGTCTCCCCTCATCGTACCGACCGCTTTGCATGTTGGATGACCTGGGGAAGATCCTCGAGCAGCTACTATTCACCCTGATAGAGGCCTACCTGGCCAAGGGCCAGTTCGGTTTTAGGAAGGGGAGGTCCACAGACGACGCGGCCTCTCTCTTCAGTGACTTGGCCCTCAAGACCATAGAATCTAAAAAGTATTACATAGTTAATAATTCAAAAATAATTTGTAATTAGAGATAACCAAAAAAAATGTTTAAATATATTTATTTTTAATTAATTTCTTAATTGAGTGGGTTATGATAAAAAAATCATTCTGTGTATGATTTTTTTTATACTTCAAAATGAAAATTTATATAACTAAATAGATTATGAGAACCAATCCCTAGTGAAATGTCACAAATTATTGTTTTACCAATAATTTCAAGTTGACATTTTCAACCGCTAGATGTGCTAGGGTAATGACTTCAATAAACTATCAGTATTTTATGAAGTTGTGTATTTAATGTGATAGTCGACAGAGTTAGAGACAGGGTGGCAACACCATCGGAGATTATACTCGTCGATTCACGGCGCTTACAGAGTCTAAAACTGCTTAACGAAAAGAACGTCACGAAATATAAGAATCAATCCCTAGTGACACGTCATAAGTTATTGTTTTACCAATAATTTCAATGAATAGATGTGCTAGGGTAATGATTTCAATAAACCATGAGTGTCTTGTGCACTCAATCAAACACGTATCTATTTAAATTTAAAATACACTCTGCGATCTCCTTAGTGACATGAAAAACACTATTGTTTTATCAATAGTTACAACGGCTAGATATGTTAAGGAAGATTTTCGAAATGCCCTTATTAAATAGACACTCCAATTGAAGAATTAAAAAAAATTCTTAATCGGAAAAAATCACAAAATATAAAATTAAAAAAATTAATTGTCTTAATAATCCTTAAACATTTAAAAATAAAAAAATAAAGTTATTTTTATAATTACATTACTAATGAGAGAGCTAGACAAAAAAAAACACCAAGTGTGAAAAAGATTCTAAGTGCGAGAGAGCACAATCGCAAAACAGTCTGGTGCAGAAACGCTTCATGACTAGATTTTTAGAAAAAATAAGGTGACGAATGAGGTAGAAATCGCCCTTTTATAGGCTTGTTTATTAGTAGGGAAATTGATGTTTTAGATTTTAATTGAAAAAATTTTAATGGTTGGTCAGTTAAACTTAAAGGGACACGTGAGCAACCTATTATTCTACTATTTTGAGTCAATATTATACGGGTATTAGTGATTTATATCTATCATCTTCCATAGTAATGTGGTTTATTAAAAAAATTATCATTATGAAAATATAAATAAAATAAAATTATAAGTGCTAAATATCTATTACAAATTAGCCCTATTTTTAAATAATAATTTAAGTTATTTTTAATGTATAAACGGTACAAGTTTTGAAAAATATATAAAAACTATTAGAACTTCGCCGAAGTCACTAAAATATATGATATTTTTGAAACTAGATTATAATTTGACAATGTAATTGTAAAACAACTGCCAATAAAATGTATGTCGATTAGCCTTGATCACTTTGTGTCATTTTACAATAGTATTAATATTGTATTTATATTTTTTGTAATTTGTTGTTTTATTGACCATCAATACAATTTTTCAAAGTATGTTGCCACTGTCACTACTGTGCCACGAACCCCCTATGCTGAGATTTGTTTATAATGTAGTATAAGTATATATAGTTAATTTTAAAAAATTATAAAAATGAATTACAATTTATAAAAAAAAAATTTAAGTATCAAAATCTAAAATTATATAAATATTGTGTACATTAGAACAAGTTGGAAACACCTTAATATATTTTAAAAGACCATGTAATAAATGTCTATTTTCGAGTAGCGTTAATATTTAATCTGAATAAATTTTTAATTTTGTATTTCATTATATTTCTATACCAATTTTAAAAAAAAATGATAATCTTTAGTATTATATCATGTCTATTTTTTAACTTGTCAACAGTAAGTACATCCGTCAAAGAACGTCATTGTAATTTTTCAAGATACATGTTGAATTACTTCAGTTTCAGTCAACAATATTTGTTACGTCTTAATGAAAGTCTAGATAAAATTTCTGAAGAAGATTTCAAAAAATATGGAGAAGCAATACAGACTCACAGTGATGTCATACTATTGATGATTACTGAATTGCATTGTACGGAAAGTCATTACTTTCCGAGAGATTTGATGGTAGTAAATTTATATCTAAATAACGTATCAGGGTCAGTTAATTTAATTTCTAGAAACCTTTCTATTAAAAATACAAAAGAAAATAAGAAATTGCTATTACTGAAAGGATATCAGATGATTCATGAACATATTTCGAAAGAATTATTTGAATATATATATACTGAATGCATTGAAGAAGTGATGTTACTATTTGTAGACTATCCAAAAATCATGTATGAACATAGCAAATTAAATATTGAACAATTAGTTTTCGTAACAAAGGATCTTAGGAATAAAATCATTAAAGAATTAAACACTAACTTATGTACAGATTCCTCTACACAATTATTTAGTCCGAAAAATGTTATATTTTTTGATTTATTCACACACCAGCCTATTGAAAATGAAAAAAATTTCATGAATGGTTCTCAAAGAAGACAAATTAAATCAGACATAAAAAATGATTACTTAGATCTTCTCCGTTTTACTCCTTTAAATATACAATGTGCAGACGGTAGTGATATTACATTATCAGATGTATTCCGATTCATAAAGTTCAATTTTAATCATCGTCATGTAGAATCATTTCAAAAACTAGTTAGATTATCTACTTTCTATCCTGTTTACGTGTTATTAAGTAAATACATAAACTTTATTAATAATCTTATGAACTCTAATTTAAATGCAAATTATTATAAATATTATATTCGCCAACATATTATAAAATTAGCCGAGACATTAATAGAATATCTAATTAATATAAAGGATCTAAATATTTTAAATAGTACAACTACTAATTCAGTCAAAATTTGTATAAATAGATTAAAGACACTTTCAATAAAACTTTATAATTGGCCAATTAAAAATAAAATTTTGATGGTCAATATTCTTAATTCAATAAATAATTTGTTGTTTAATAAATGTATAAAGTGTGAAATGGAATCGAATATTACAATTACACACGACAATATTTATGATAACTACAAAAATATAATAAAATATAGTAAGCAAGTAAAAGACTACATTACAAATCTAGAAAAATACAAGGATTTGTTTGTATCACAACTAAGTTTGCATAAAGAAATGAAACACAGCACTAATTTACAACAAATAAATTACTTAACCGATGAGGTTGTTAGTAAGTATTTTTTAATTTTATTTTTACGTTAGTTTATATTTATTTTATTATTTTCATACTAAATTTTTTTATGTAGAAAATTTATGCAAAGATGATTTATATAAAACTTTAAATAGAACATACGATTTGGACAAAATTGAAGATGACTTGGTAAATGATGTTCAGTTTGCAGATCTTGGATTTGTAAAAATTGAAACATCCCTATCTAGTATTCAAAACGAAGCAAGTATTGATAGTAATGAGACCCAATTGGAAATTGAAACAACAGATTCGTCAAAATATAGCCCATGCTACATGGTTGATTATTTAATGTATAATTAGTTATTATTATTAAAAAAAATCAATAAAGCATGAAAAAAATTGAAAATTTAATTTTCAATAAAATTTAATAATAAGTAATTTTAACCTTGAATCATAATTGAAATAATCAAAATTTAATTTTACTTATACATTAAAAGAATGTCAATTTTATTTTATCAAATAACAACATTGCTTCCATTTTAAGCTAATTTATAGAATAACAACTTTTGATTTAAAACTTTGCTAGAACAACCCATAAAACCTAAGTCGCTAAGTACCCAGTCGCTATCAGCGGTCACAGGCTTCTAACTAACATAATTGTACGACGCAAAATACTCGGACGATCACTCGCTATATTTAATCGCGTCTCTAACGGTTCCTTTAAATAAAATAAAAAAAGAATAAAATAAAAATGAAGTTTTGTGGATTATTTTATTTCTCCCTTTGATAATATCCAATACAAACACACATGATTAGTATGTACACTTAAAATAGATATAATAAAATATAACAACATAAATATTCTTAACAATTAACACTTAAACAAAAAACAAAAAACAAAAAATGTATAATCTGACCTTGTTTCTCATATCACGATGACGAGTGTTTCAATGTGTCAATTAGTACAGTCGACCCCGACGCAATCAACTGTAAATTATATGCTTGTTAGGTGAATTGAACACTTAAACCATCTAAACAGGCAAGCCGAACAAACACAACAGAGTCTACACGTAAGTAGTACTAAAGGCATGCCGTTACGCGAGTGTCGCCATTCGTGACCACCGCCACACACTACCCCAAAACAAAACCAGTTGTGGCAGGTCGCGCTCTTGACGAGGAAAAGAAAACCGTCACTCACTAACCTGCTTCGACACGACCGAACAATAATAGTTTATTATCATGATAAAGTTTTATCTTACCTATGTTAATATCAAAGATTATATTTTCATATATCCTGCGTTAGTACGAAAAGTAGGATTTACTTTGAATGTTTTTTAATTCGTTAAAGTTTTTCAAATTTATTGATAAGGGCAACTGACTAACTTATCAAATTAAACACTAATATCTAAAATGTGAACTTTTAATTGTCTATCTTAAAATAACCAAGATAATTTAATAAAAAAATGTATTTATCACACTAATTTTTTAAATTTAAAAACTTGTATTTGATAGATTATTTACTTAATAAAAATTTTTAAGAAATCACATTAAGTTAGACAGTTTATGGTCATATAATTTTTTATTAGTATTAACATCACTAAATTGCTTAACAATTACGTATAAAAGCTTTAATACAATGGTTATGTAATTTATTTCGAAGTACTTGGCCGTTCATTTTGTGAGGATGATAAAGAGACATATAATTCTTTTAATAAGTTACCTATAATCATAGATAACTAAGGTGTGCTATAACAAATAAATGAATAGATGTACTAACAAATAATTATCTATTATAATCAGCACGGTTAACAGAGTAGGAAACTATTATCAATTATGTCATACGTAATTATTTATCACAAAAGAGAAAATATTTAAAATATATTTAAGGAATTATCATATAATTTTTGAATTGTTGTAATATTGATACATTTTTTTGATTGGCAACCCAGGGTTACTATAGCAGTTTATTGCCGCCACGGCGTCAGCAATAATACCAATTTTAAATTAATTGTTATTTACATATTGTGTAATAGTTTATTTATTAAATAATGATCAAGTTATATGAAAATTAATCAATAGAAATATATTTTTTCTTAATTAATTAAGTAATTCCAATAATAGTAATTTTTTTAAATAACAATTTTTATTTATTTTTTTTATAAAATAGGTGAATTAAATTATTCTATTAAAATTATCTTAAATATAAATACATTTTAGCTTCGATGCGAAGCTGACAAGGTATTAATTTTACTATGATGTGTTTTTTTTTTGTGCCAGTTACCACTTTTTCTCAGCTCTCATCGAAACGATTTCTTTTAATCTTTTTTCAGGCATTAGCAACATTATACAAATTTGTAAAAGAAAAATTATAACAGAAAATGAATTTCGAAATGTATGCTTTTGCACCGAAGAACTCGTAAACATAATATCCTTATTAATTGTTCCACTGGCAAAAATGATGAAAGGCGCCATGGATAATTTAGATTATATGCATATCAACCCATGGATTATTCAATCAAATTGTTACATGGTGAGTCCTTTATTAGGGAATATAGAAAATATTCTTGACTATTTAAACGAACGAACTCTAACATGTAATGATTTATCTACCTACATGTGGACATTAAATACTATAAATGATTTTTTCAAAAAATAAAAGTAAATGTAGACTATCAAACTGTAGTTTATTGTAGATTTGTATCTTATGATGAAAATAATTTATAGAATGAATGGAATCAAGAATATACATCCATGATAAACAATGACATGTCATTAGAATATTTTACCTTCTTAATCAGAAAAATTAAGGATTATATCAAGACAATAATTATAGAATAGTATTTTCAACTAGGATTTAAATTTGATCCAATTACTGAAGAATCTTTTAAACCAACACTAACCGAGACAATTGAACTAGGTAATTTATAATAAAAATAAAAAGTTGATTATAATAATAACTTAATGTCTTTTATTATTTTTAGCTTCGATGCGAAGCTGAGAAGGTATTAATTTTACCATATGTTGATATGTTTTTTTTTTTTATGTCTGTTGTCACTTTTTCTCAGCTCTCACTGGACCGATTTCTTTCAACAATACGTCAAAAGATCATAAATCGTATCTAGTTGAAGACATTACCCTTAAAAATTGAAAATTTTTCCCTCGTTCCCCGCAAATGGGGGAGATATCCACAAAAATTACAAATTTAAAAATCGGTAAATTTTGTCATTTTTTTTACTTTTTTTTCTTAAAACTTCCATAACTTTTTCAAAAATAAACAAATCAGTATATTTTTTTTATTTAGATGCATGTGTTTATCTATCATTTGGTTTTTTTTTTATAAATCTAACCCTTTACCTGCCCACAAGAGGGATTCAAAATATTAACTTTTTTTTTTTTAGTTAAAGTAAATCATTAAAATTAATTCAGTTCTGGATATTTCAATAGTAGAATCTTTTTAAATATCAAAAATTACTTAGAAATGATTACTATGATTTCTATTTAAGTGTTCTATTACGATAAAAATGCAAAAAAATAATGAGTTTTTCTGATAAATATACTGTAAATAGTAATTATAAAATTTCCTGACTGCATATTAATCTTAAAAATTACATTGTTTTAATTCTCATAAAATTTTCTATTTAATGATTTATTCTAGTTAACGAACGAGTAATTTTGGCGAATAACAGAAAAAATTCCCACCCAATTTTTTTTTTTTAAAAGTAGGAAATTGGTGGATTATTCCAAAAGCAACATCAACTCTTATTTCTTTAATTATATCCTGATTAGTAGTTCTTTGATTTTAAAATATAATATATGAATAAATACTAATAATTAATATAGTTATATAACTATAATTATTATAGTTTTTAAATTCAGTATGAAATTGTGGGGCCAGCTATGATGTATAGTTCATAGTGTTGGGCGGTTGATAAGAAAGTAGAGCAGAGAATAAGTGTAGCAGAGATGAGAATACTTAGTTGGATGAGTGGAGTGACTAGAGAAGATAGGATAAGGAACGAGCATATAACAGGAAGTAAAGGTGTTGCGTCAATCGTGGATAAGATGAGAGAAAATAGACTTAGATTGTTTAGTCATGCTATGAGGAGAGAAGAATCGGAAGCTGTAAGAACAGTTATAAAAATGAATTTTGAAGCAAGAAGAGGTAAAGGAAGACCAAACAGGAGATTGAGGGATGTTATTGCATGCGACATGAGGACAGCTGATGTGAGCATAAAAGATGAGGGAGATCGTGTTAAGTGGAAGCTTAGGATAAGGGTGGCCGATCCCAAATAATTGGGATTAAGGCAAAGAAAAAAAAAATTCCGGTGGCAATTGACATAATATAATTGTTGTTTGGGAATGTACAATTTAGCGTTTAGTTGGGTTTAAACAATATAGCGTCAAATCAATTACTTACTCTATCGGTTGTATCTAATTATACACTACACTTTAATGATACTATAAATAAATAAACTTACACATACACACATATGCATTTATAACATTGTGTCTAATGTAAGTATAACATGATAAAAAGTAATCGTAAAATGAAAAAAATGGAATATAAATTTTAGTACTCATATAAAATGTAATGTAACTCGAAAAATATCTGTTTGAATGAAAAAATATAAGATAATTTTTTTATATATAATTGTCTTTTAAACAATTTTTGTACGAAATTTTTTTTTTGTAAGTTAAATATTTTTTGAGAAAATTAAAAAAACTCATGTGTTTTGAACTTTTGCGAGGCTGTAAAAAAAACATGAATTTTTAACATATTAAAAATCTAATCAGTTGAAAGGTTACAAATATATAAAAATCAAATTAATTGGCCGCAACGAAAAATTTGTAACTTTCATGGCGTTTTACAAAGTTATAAGTAAAGAGTCGCCAACCTACTGGGCGAGACAGTATATTGTCGGACCACAGTAGGATTTTTAAAAAAAATTAACTTTTTATATTAAAACAATTAGAAAAAGAATATATAATTAATAAATATTAAAGTTGATGTACGTTGAGTCGTTGATAGTAGATGTACACTAAAACCTCGTGACAGTTGTTACATAACCATATTAATGAGNCTAAAACCTCGTGACAGTTGTCACATAACCATATTAATGAGGGATGACCTTATACAAGGCCGTTGCCCGTCCCTTATAAACTAGGGGAGTTGATTTTTGAAAGGAGAAAAAAAATACACGAGACCATTGAAGATGGAACACGCAAAAAAGAAAAATATGATGGTTAAGTTAAATTAAGGGGAATTTATTAAAAAAAAACAAAAAAAATTAAGTTAACACGAGGCAAAAAACCGAATGGTCAAAAAACCTCGTCTATAAATTAAAGGGAAACAAAGAAAGAGAAAAAAAAAATATTTATTAATAAAAAAATACTAGTTACACCTACACTTTTATTGTTAGAGAATACGATGAATGTCTTCGGGTACCCGCCGACTATTAATCGCAGCATTGCCACTAAGCACGACGGGTATACGTCCCAAGTAAGCGACTGGTTTCTGGCAGTTAGGCTTAGCTTGCAAGACGTTGGGACACCCCGGAATAAAATGCACTACGTCACCACATTGTACCAATAATATATACATATCACCCATAAATATAATCTAAAACCTATATAAAAAATCACAAAAAAATATGGATATAACATGACAGGTGGTCTTGTACACGCCTGTCATGTTTCGGGACCTAAATAAAAAAATATAAGGGCATCTACACAAAAAAAAAAACTATATAAAAAATATAAAAAAATTCGCCACACGTGCTTATGGCACGGCGCACCAAAAATCCTGGCTCAAAACATTACAACAAAAATATACATTACCAGCCCCTAAGGGCTCAAGAAGCTGGAGGCAGGTTTAGCCGACGCCATTAAACACAAAATTTACATAATTACAACATAGCGGACACTCGCGAATATATATATATAAAATTAACGGTTGCGGCGCACACAACAAAAAAAACCGCTGTGGACGAAAATTAGCGACGACCAGTTCCGATGATGGCTAATTTCCGACAACCCGTCCGACGTTTGACCCGGCGGTCCGTTGGCGACCAAACGGCTAGCCTTTAGAGTAGGGGTCAAAAAATCACTAAATACCCAGTGCCGGAAATTATTAAAAACAATTTAAATCATATGGCGACAATGTATGCGGCGAGCAGTGCAAATGACGTTCAAGATAGGAAAGGAGCGGGGTGAATGTACACACAAATGCCGTCCATGAACCAGTCTGAAGTAGTACACAGCTGACTATCTCGCACGCGCATAAACAAATCACAACACCTTATCATGATAATTTTACCAACAAACGCCGTCGCAGTCCGCATTCGGCTTAACACAAATATATATATACAAATAGACAAAAAAAAAAAACAACCAGATACTTTTGTCATGTTACACAGTAATTATTTAAAAACAAATCTTTTTTTCTTTTAATTATTATTATAAATGTAATTAGTAATAATATTAAAAATTAGAAGTGATAGAAAAAGTCTAATTGCAGATTTGAAAACAACGCAAAAAGTTGATTTTTTAAAGTATATTTTTGCTTCTGATGAAAGTTCCTTGTAGTCCAGTGCATTTATTTCTAATAACAAACAGTTTTTATTGAAAATTATTGTATCCTGCCTTTTTAATTATTATACACATAAAAGTAAAGCAAAATATAAGTTCTTTATTATTTTTATAATTTCTCCATTTAAATTACAATATTTAATTATTGAATATCAATGTCATACTAAATTTAAAAACTATAATTATATTATATTTTAAAATCAAAAAACCACTAATCAGGATATAATTAAAGAAATACGAGTTGATGTTGGTGTTACTTTAAAAATAAGAGTTGATGTTATTTTGAATTTCCTATTTAAAAAAAAAGAAAAATTGGTTGGAAATTTTTTCTCCTATTCGCCAAAATTACTCCTTCGTTGACTGGCCTAATCATTAAATAGAATATTTTATGAGAATTAAAAAAATTGTATCGTTAAGATCAATATGCAGTCAGAAAGTTTTATAATTACTGTTTATTGTAAATTTATCAGAAAAGCTCAATATTTTTGTGCATTTTTATCGTAATAATTAACTTAAATAGAAGTAATAATAATAATTTCCTAGTAACTTTGATTGTTTAATAAGATTCCACAATTGAAATATTGAGAACTTAATTAGTTTTAATGATTTATTATAATTAAATGAACCAATCAAAACAAAATTGTTAAAAAGATTTACTCAATTGATTGTTTTATAAAATTTGATTATATTTGTAAAAATCCATTGTTAATTCAGAAGAAAAAACAATTCATTTTTTAGAAATGATTTATATAGCAACTCTCTCTCTCTATGGTTTCAATCCGTAGATTGGTTTGCAGCCATCTTCCAGTCTTCCCTCTTATCCGCCTTCCTTTTCATTTCCGCATATGAGTCACATCCTTGGTCCTTTATTATCTGTTGAATGAATTCCAATCTTGGTCTACCCCTACGGTTCTTTCCTTCTACTGTTCCTTCTATTATCAATTTCAACCATCCTTCATGTATCATTATATGACCTATCCATTCGTTGCGTCTTCTGACTATGTTATTCCATAGTAACTTTCCATCTGATATTCTTTCCAGTACTTCTACATTGGTTACTCTGTCCATCCAACTTATCCTTAGCATCCTTCTATAGCACCACATTTCAAACGCCTCAAGTCTTTTTTTTTCTTCCATTGCTATTGTCCAGGTTTCACACCCGTACAGAGCAATGCTCCATACATACGTCTTTAATAAGTTTTTTCTTATTTTTAGACTCATGCTTCTTGATGTAAATATAGTTTTCTTTTTTTTAAAGGCTATTTTAGCTTGACAGATACGTTTTATAATTTCACTTCTGTTTCTTCCATCCTTGCTGATTGCGCTTCCCAGGTATGTAAATTCATCTACTTGTTCTATTGCTTGGTTTCGTATTTTTATCTGTATTCTTGTATTATTTTCCCTTTCACATACCATTACTTTTGTTTTCTTCACATTTATTCTCATTTCCAACTCTTTTTCGAATGATTTATCCATAGCTTTAATTAGTTGAGCCAGATCTTTCTCGCATTCAGCAATTAAAGCTATGTCATTGGCAAAGCGTAACATACTTATTTTTTGTCCGTTAATCTTTATCCCTAGATTGGCATTTTCCTTTATCTTATCTATTGCTTCTTGAATATATGCGTTGAATATAATTGGGGATAATGTACAACCTTGTCTAACTCCTATGTTTATTTTTACTTCTTCTTCCTCATCTTGGATCCTTATAACTGCGGATTCATCCTTGTATAGGTTATACAGAAGTTTCCTATCTGTGTATTTTAACCCCAATCTTTTCATCATGTTAAACATTATCTTCCAATTTACGTTATCAAATGCTTTTTCGATATCCACAAAAGCTATAAATGTTTGTTTGTCTTTCCTAATCCTCTTTTGAATGATTATCCTTAACGCCAATATTGCTTCTCTCGTTCCCATATTCCTTCTAAACCCGAATTGATCTTCTGTCAATGATTGTTCTATTTTACCTTCAATAAGTTTAAATATAAATTTTGTTAGTATTTTAGAGGCATGGGATAGCAAACTAATAGTACGGTATTCTTCACATTTCTTTGCTGCTGTTTTCTTTGGGATGGGGATAATTAGGCTCTTTACGTAATCTTCAGGCAATTCACCGGTTTTGCATATGACTTTGATAATTTGAAATAATTCCCTTTTAACTTTTTCAACCGCCTCCTTCCAAAGCTCCGCTTGTATTCCATTGTTCCTGCTGCTTTTTTATTTTTCAGATTCCGCAAAGCTTTGTCAAACTCTTCTCTCATAATTGGGTCTATTTCGTTATCTTCTTCAGATTTATCCTCTTCATTTGATTCGGTGGTTTCATTTTCCTTAAGTGTTTCCCCCTTGTACAGGATTTCTAGATATTCTTTCCATCTTTTCGCTATATCATTTTGTTCATATAGCATTCTTCCGTTGTTATCTTCTTATCCCCCTGCTCGGGGCTTATGTTGACCAAAAAACATTTTCACCATTCTATATGCTTCATCACTACTTCCTGTCTTTATGATGGTATCTATTTCATTACACTTTTCTTCCAAATATTTTTCTTTTGCTTACCTCGATTTCCTAATGATTACATTCCTCAGTACTCTGTATTTTTCCTGTCCATCTATACTGTTCAAACTCTTGTATTTCCTACTTTCCTCTATCATGTTGACTATTTCCGTTGTAATCCATTCCTTTCTTGCTGCATTGTTGCTATTTCCTAGAGTTTTCGTTGCAGCCAATGTAATTGTATCTTTCAAGTTCTGCCATCTTTCTTTAATATTTTGGGATTTTTCAATAATTATATCATTAGTGTCTTCACTATATTTTTTGCTTATTTTCTCATCTCTCAGATTTTTAATTTTCCATTGCACTATTTTCTTCTTTTTATCCATTATTCTTTTAAATTTAAGTTCGCATTTCATCATTACTAGATTGTGGTCGCTATCTATATCCGCTCCTGGGTAACTTCTACTTTCCTTTACTTGATTTTTAAATCTATTCTTAACCATGATGTAATCTATTTGGTATCTATTTATGTCTCCTGGCATTTTCCACGTGTATCTTCGTCTTCGATGGTGATCAAAGCAAGTGTTTGTGATTATTAAGTTATGTTTTGCACACAATTCTAATAAGCGTTCTCCTCTTACATTTCGCGTTCCCAACCCAAAGGCACTTGTTACATTATTTACTTTTTCTTCCCCTACAACGGCATTCCAATCACCCATTACTACCAGATTCTCTTCCCCTTTAACATTTTCGATTATTTTATCTATATTTTCGTATACTTCTTCTACCTCTTCATCGTTACTATTTGATGTCGGCATATACACTTGAACTACTATTGTATCTTTTGGTTTCGTCTGGAGCTTGACTAGAATGATTCTATCGTCATATTGTATATAGCCTTTAACTTTTTTTCCTAGGTTTTTATTCATTATAATCCCTACTCCTCCTGTGCCAGGTTTCTTCTCTGATGCACCTGTATGTATTATTCTATGGTCTCCGCTCCAAAAGTCTCCTGACTTTGGCCATCTCAATTCTGATATTCCAAGAATATCGATTTTCATCTTGTCCATTTCTATTTTCAGATTTTCCAATTTTCCACATTGTAATAAAGTCCTTACATTCCAAGTTGCTATTCGTTTATATTCCTTCACATCCTTAACACTTCTTACCTCTCTTGTAGTCCCCACCCGGAGATCCGAACGGGGGACTATTTTACCTCCGGAATTTTTTACTTGAGAAGAAGACATGTTGATTGCTGTTACTTGGGATATTAATACGGTGGTTTCCCGTTGCCTTCCGTATCGCAGTGCAGCCATCAATTATACCGTTTCCCGTATCTGTTGGCTGCTGCCTGGTGTGTAGCTGATTAACTTACACTCAATATTGTAGTAACTGCTCAAGTCCCTTTTAGTCGCCTTTTACGACAGGCAGGAACAACCGATGGTCTATTCTAATCCCGACCAACAGGGGATAGCAACATATATAGCAACATGTTACAAAAAAAATTGTAGTATTATAGTCTAGTACTAGCACACACAAATAGAGTAAAAAAATTATTAAATTACAAAGTAAAATGATTTAATTTTGTAGTTGAAACTTATCATATCAAATTTCATTCTTTAATAAATATTTTGAAAACATTAGAAATTAATGATTTTAATTGTCTTTTTGGAGAACATGTAATAACTAACTGTTTAATTGATAAATTAGAATTTTTTTTTCAATTTTTGAGGGTAATATCTTTAACTAGATACAAATTGTAGTCATTTGACGTATCGTTGAAAAAAGGAGGTCAAGTTAGAGCAGAGAAAATAAATGATTGTCACAAAAATATATCTTCTTAGCTTTACATCGAAGCTAAAACTTAAAATATAGAAAATAATTTTAATACGAATAAGAAATTTCTTCTTACAAGGGGCGACTAAAGTGATGGGATCCTTGATCTTTATTGAAGTTATTAAATCTAAATGAGATAAAAATCAAACGAGTTAAAAATTTATACTAACTTAAAAAGAATTAAGAAAAAATGCAAAAAATTCATTGCCATACGCGGGTTTGAACCTCGTACCCTAATCGTGTAAAACATAAGTTATTCCAACTCGGTAACTGTACGTCACTACCGTCGGTAGAAAATATGGGCTATTTAAGCTAATTCAAATTTCAAGGTTATTTTTCTCGACTTAAAAGAAGCAAACAAATTTAAATAAGTTTAACTTTCTATGATATATTANCTAATTTAAATAAGTTTAACTTTCTAAGATATATTAATTTTAATTTATATAATATTTATGAAAATCTATACTCCCCTTGTCAGGTATTTTAAAATAAAATAAAATACAAAACCCAGAATTTTAACACAAAAATAGCAAATTTTTGAATACGGTAGTCATTTTTACCATGAAGACAAATCCAGAGGTCAAATTTTTTTTTTTAAAATTAAAGTATATTACATAAGCTTTAATTTAAGATATATATAAAAGTGTCAGTATTTCCGGAATACTTTCAAAAATTAAATTGAAAATATCTTAGTAACAATACGCATGTTTAAAGTTTTGACCCCCCTTGTTAAAGGGGTATGATCCGATTTACAAAAAAAGCGTGCCAGATGAAAGGGGTATATAAATATTTATTATAAAAAAATAATAATATAGATCCATACATTTTTCCAAAAGTTATATAAAATATAAATTAAATAATATAACATATAAAATCGAGATTTTTTTCACGGAAATCGTACGTTTTTCTTTAACTTTGATGTCCGTTTTCACCACAAAGACAAGTTCAGAGGTCAAATTTTTTTTTTTTAAATTAAAGTATATTGCATTAGCTTTAATTTAAGGTATATATAAAAGTATCAGTCTTTCCGGAACATTTTCAAAAGTTAAGTTGAAAAAGTTCTACTTTCTATACGCATTTTAAAAGGTTTGCACCCCCCCTGTATAAAGGGAAATGGTCCGATTTTAAAAAAAAGTATGTCGAATGAAAGAAGTATATATAAAGTATTTATCATTAAAGAATAAAGTTGATTCATGCATTTTTTAAAAAGTTATAGCAACATAATGTTAAAAAATGTAAAATATAATATCAAGAATTTTTTCACAAAAATAGCATATTTTTGCATACGGTAGCCATTTTCACCATGAAGACAAGTCCAGAGGTCAAATTTTTTTTTTTCAAATTAAAGTATATTACATAAGCTTTAATTTAAGGTATATATAAAAGTGTCAGTCTTTCCGGAACATTTTCAAAAGTTAAGTTGAAAAATTTATACTTTCTATACTTATTTTAAAAGGTTTGCACCCCCCCTGTATAAAGGGAAATGGTCGGATTAAAAAAAAAAGTATGTCGAATGAAAGAAATTTATATAAATCATTTATCATTAAAGAATAAAGTTGATTCATGCATTTTTTAAAAAGTTATAGCAACATAATGTTAAAAAAACCCAAATATAATATCAAGAATTTTTTCACAAAAATAGCANGAGGGGTCGCGGCACAGTTGTAACGTGGTATAGTTGGTTGGGTTAAGTATAATGATATCTGACAGTGATTAAAATCACTATCAAAAATAAACGCTTCGATGCAAATCTTTATATAGTGTTTAATTTTAAAAAAATTGGTGTTTTATTCCAAAAGCTACTTGATCTGCTGGTTCCTTATTAATATCTCGATTAAGATAAAGTATGTCGAATGAAAAAGGGTTTATTAAAAAATATTATTTCTCATAAAAAAATGTGTGGATCCATAAACTTTTCAATAAGTTATAGCATTATAAAGTTAAATGTAATATAAATAATAAAATCGAGAATTTTCACACGAAAATAGTATTCGGTAGCCTTTTTCGCCGTGAAGACAAGTCCAGAGGTCAAATTTTTTTTTTCAAATTAAAGTATATTACATAAGCTTCATTTTAAGATATATATAAAAGTGTCAGACCTTCCGGAACACTTTCAAAAGTTAAGTTGAAAAAGTACTACTTTCTATATGCATTTTTTATATTTGAAGCCTCCCCATATATAGAGAAATAATCTGATTTAAAAAAAAAGTATATCCAATGAAAGATGTATATAAATACTATTTTTCATGAAAAAATTGTATTGATCCATACATTTTTTAAAAAGTTATAGCACTTTAAAGTAAAAAATGTAAATTATAAAATCGAAAATTTTCACACAAAAATAGCATTCGGTAGCCGTTTTCACCATGAAGACAAATCCAGAGGTCAAATTTTTTTTTTTCAAATTAAAGTATATTGCATTAGCTTTAATTTAAGGTATATATAAAACTATCAGTCTTTCCGGAACATTTTCAAAAGTTATGTTGAAAAAGTTAATTTTTTGTAAAAAAGTTGTCATTTTAAATCCCCCCCTGTAGGCAGGTAAAAAGTCAAATTTATAAAAAAAATATACCAAATGATAGGTAAAGACATCTTGCATCTACAAAAAAAAGAATTATATTGATCCATACATCTTTCAAAAAGTTATAGCATTATAAAGTTAAAAATATAAAAAAGAATTTTTTTACAAAAATCGTATTTTTTTTATTATATTTGATGTCTGTTTTCACCATGAAGATAAAATAAAGTCCGAAATTTTTTTTTACCATTATAAAGTATATTACATTAGCTTTAATTTAAGATATATATAAAAGTGTCAGACCTTCCGGAACACTTTCAAAAGTTACGTTGAAAAAGTTCTACTTTCTATATGCATTTTTATGTTTTGAATCCCCCCCCTGTATTTAGGGAAATGGTCCGATTTAAAAACAGTATGTCGAATGAAAGATCTATATAAATACTACTTTTCATGAAAAAATTGTAATGATTCATACATTTTTCAAAAAGTTATAGCATAATAAAGTTAAAAATGGAAAATACAAAATCGAAAATTTTCACACAAAAATAGCATTCGGTAGCCATTTTCACCATGAAGATAAGATAAAGTCCGAAATTTTTTTTTTTCATGATAAAGCATATTACATTAGCTTTAATTTAAGATATATATAAAAGTGTCAGACCTTCCGGAACATTTTCAAAATTTAAGTTAAAAAAATTAATTTTTTGTGAAAAAGTTGTCATTTTAAATCCCCCCTTGTGGGCAGGTTAAGGGTTAAATTTATGAAAAAAATATACCAAATGAAAGGTAATGATATTATGCATCTATATAAAAAAGAATTATATTGATATGTTCATTTTTGAAAAAGTTATGGCACTTTTAAGTAAAAAAAATTGAAAAAATTTCGAAAATTAGCGATTTTTAAATTTGTAATTTTTTTGGAGGTTTCCCCCATTTACGGGGAACGAGGGAATTTTTTTCAATTTTTAAGGGTAATGTCTTCGACTAGATACGATTTGTGATCTTTTGACGTATTATTGAAAGAAATCGGTTCGGTGAGAGCTGAGAAAAAGTGGTAACAGGCACAAAAAAAAAAAAAAACACATCTTAGTAAAATAATACCTTCTCAGCTTCGCATCGAAGCTAAAAATTTCGGACTTTCATGGTGAACACAAACATTAAAGTTAATAAAAAGAGTATAATTTTTGTAAAAAAAATTCTTTTAGCTTCGATGAGAAGCTGAGAAGGTATTAATTTTACCATGATGTGTTTTTTTTTTTATGTCTGTTGCCACTTTTTTTCAGCTCTCACTGGACCGATTTCTTTCAACAATACGCCAAAAGATCATAAATCGTATCTAGTTGAAGACATTACCCTTAAAAATTGAAAATTTTTCCCTCGTTCTCCGCAAATGAGGGAAACCTCCAAAAAAATTACAAATTTAGAAATCGGTAAATTTTGTCATTTTATTCACTTTTTTTCTTAAAACTTCCATAACTTTTTCAAAAATCAACAAATCAACATAATTTCTTTTTTATACTAAAATCTTAGATATTTTCATTTCATTTGATATCATTTTTTTTTGAAAATCTAACACTTATTCTGCTCACAAGGGGGATTTAAAATAGCAACTTTTTTAGAAAAACTAACTTTTTCAACTTAATTTTTGAAAATGTTCCGGAAATACTGCGTCCTTTAAACATATATCAAATTAAAGCTTATTTTATGTACTATAAAATGAAAAAAAAAAATTTGTCCCGACACCTTATCTTCTATGTGCAAATGGCAGTCGAAATTATAAAAAAAATGTAATATTTGCGATAAAAATCACCTTTTATAACGATGTTTTTTGTACTTAAAACTGCCATAACTTTTTCAAATATTAACTAATCAAAATAATATTTCTTTATATTGAAACCTTAGGTAATTTCCTTTCATTTGATATCATTTTTTTTTGAAAATCTAACACTTATTCTGCTCACAAGGGGGATTTAAAATAGCAACTTTTTTAGAAAAACTAACTTTTTCAACTTAATTTTTGAAAATGTTCCGGAAATACTGCGTCCTTTAAACATATGTCAAATTAAAGCTTATGCCATGTACTATAAATTAAAAAAATTTGTCTCTACGACCTAACTTGTATGCCCAAATGGCTACCGTATTCAAAAATATGCTATATTTGTGTTAAAATTCTGAGTTTTGTATTTTATTTCATTTTAAAATATCTTAATAGGGGAATACATTGACTTTCATGAATATTATATAATTAAATTGACATAGAATTAAGTTCATAAGACATAAGTAATTAAACTTATTAAAATTTTTTTACTTTTTTAAAGTTGAAAAAGCAATTTTTAAATTTGAGTTAGCTTAAATAGCTAATTTTATCTTGTGACAAAAGTAACGAACAGTTGCCGAATCGGTAACACCTGTGTCATTCACACTTAGGGTATGAGGTTTCCAATCCGTCTGTAGCTATTAATAATTTGAATTTTTATTTGAGTTAGAATAAAATTTTCAAATCATTTGATATTTATCACATTTACATTCAATAACTTCAATAAATATAAAGGATCCTATCACTATAGTCTCCCCTCGTGAGAAGAAATTTATATTAATGTTAATACTATTTTACTATGTGGTTCTTTTTGTGGCTACGATTTATTTTGCCAACCCTCACTAGACCTACTTTTTTCAATGATACATCAAATGATTACAATTCATATTTAGTTTAAGTTATTACTCTTGAAAATCGAAAAAATATTTCTTATTCAAATAAAAAGTAGCTTAACCAGCTTTTTCCATACAAATAATTAAAATCATTAATTTCTAATATTCTTAAAGTATTTATTGTCCAATTAGATTTGATATGATAAAAGTATTCAACTAAAAAAGAATTTTACTTTGTAGTTTATTAATTTTTTAATTCTATTTGTGTGTGCTACTACCAGTTTATAATATTCCAAATTTTTATGCAATGTGTTGCTATATAAATCATAAATTAAAAAAAAAAAATGATTTTTAGTTTCACCTGAATTTAACGATGGATTTTTACAATTATAATCAAATTTTATAATAAGCTCAATTGAGTAAATCTTTTTAATAACTTTTTTTCTATTGGTTTTTTTAGATATATTATCATTAAAATTAATTAAATTATGAATATTTCCATTGTAGAATCTTTTTAAACACCAAAAGTTAATTAGAAATGATTAATATGATTATTATAGAAGTGAACTATTACGATAAAAATGTAAAAAAAATCTTTTCTGATAAATGTACTGTAAATAGTAATTATAAAATTTCCTGATTGCATATTAATCTTAACAATTTCATTTATTTCTATTAAATAATGTCAATTTCAAACTTGTAAGTTGAGCTAAAAGTTATGGTAATAAATTCATTTATTTTTTTATTAAAACTTTCACATTAAAGTGAAAGTGATTACTATAATAAATATTTAACTAATGTTGTTTTTTTATTTAATTTTAAAAACTTAATAGGTACTATTTAATAAATTAGGTCACTTAATTTTCATTCCATTTCTAAATTAACCTGTTACTTATTATTATAAACGAAAATAATTTTACAGGAAATTGTAAAAAATATAAGTCTCAAAAATTAATTTCTGATAGTAATTTTACAAAGTATACTGGAAACATAAAATTATACATTAAAATGGAAAATAGACTATTTAATTTTATAAGTTAATTTTTTTAAAGCAATATTTTATTTTGTTGTCAGCATTACCATAAATCGTTAAATTGTGTTTTAGTTATTTTAATATTTTTTAAAACTTTTGTACTAAAAGCTATATTCATATGTACACGAAATTTAAAATCTATTTTAGTTATGTTTTTTTTTGTTTAATATTTAATAATTTTTTTAACTAAGTATAAGGAAATTATAATTAAAATACAATTGCATGATAATGAATTTTTATAATTTATTTTATAAATTTACATTAATCAAATTATTGAATATATTTTAATATTAATATATACAGAGTAATTGGTTTATAATAAAGCAATGGATTACTCTCAAAATAAATACAACATGAAAAACAAAAAAATTTGTTTTTTTTTTGTTACGTTTATTTCTTAATTGCGAGCTAATAATGATTTTTTCGAATTTTTTTAATGGCAACATACATATTTGACTAGATTTGGTATAATTAAGAAAATAAACCGTCTTTAACAACTTCTGGACAGGTACTAAAAATTTAAAGTAAATACTGGTGGTGAAGAGTGGGTGTAGCTATTTTTATCACTAGGCATTTTTCGGTCGTATACTACCTTTCGCCAAAATATAAAAATGAATATAACTTTCAATGTACCGGTACAAGAGTTGTTATCGACCAGTCATTTTCTGTATAGGATTATATACTATTTTATAAGGTAGTTAAATATGTGTGTTTCCGTTTAAAAAATAAAATTGACACTCCCTTAAATTATACAGGATGATTCTAAAAATTAATAGCTGAAAAATCAAGAAATACAAAAATCGTATTATTAAATCGATTATGTAACTAAAAATAATAAAAATTATTTTTTCAATATTGTATTTATTTTTCCAGTAATCGAGAGGTTTATAATAAACTGATCACTATGTATATTAAATATACAGGTGTTCTGTAAATGAAAAACAGATCAATAGTTACAAAAAATGATACACTCTATATATTATTTTAAATCATTCTAAAAAATTATTTATACAATATATTTTAAAAATATAACTAGCTTATTTTAAGAGATTGTTTTCAGATTTGTTGGAAAAAATCTTGTAAAATACCTCGTAAATTTCGAAGTCAACGTTTTCAAATAAATCATTAACTTTGTTCAAATAACCCATTAGATTATTAACATTTTCTTTTGACCATGATTTTAAATCTATTTTATTATTTTCTACTAATTGTATAATATCTGCTAATGTTATAATTTCTAAATAATTGAAATTAGTTCGACGAAAAATACGATTTGCTATTTTGTAAACCTTTTCGGCAAACGTTAAATCAANTCGTAAACCTTTTCGGCAAACGATAAATCAAATGGTCTAGTTTTAAACCATTCATTAAGTTCAATTAAATCTGAATCCTCTTGTAAATGAAAAAATGTTATAAAATTGTTTACTAAATATTTTATTGAGTTCCAGGAAGTTTCAATGAACAAATTACTTTTAAATAAATTCCTATCTATACCAGACTTATAACCTATAGCGATTGATGATTGTAATTTTATATGAATATAAAAAGATAATTTTACAGTGTCTATTAAAGTTTCTCTGTAGTTAATTAGTTCAAAATAGTTATCTTTTTCATCAACCCATACATACATAGCGGCATTAAAACTTTGAATTAAATGTTCTTCGCATCTTATCCATTTAATAGCTGAACATTTTGTAAAGAGTGTTTTTACAGAATCTTTATTTAAAATGATATCAAAGAAAAATAGATTTTGTGGTGTATATAAATTGTCTATATTATTTCCTACTACTTTGAAATTTTCTTCGATATTCATATCAAGAATTATCAATTTTGAATAAATTTCATCAATTAATTCAATTTGTTCATATTTATTGCTTGATTTAAAACCTTTAAGCAATTTTTTAATCTCTTTCGTCGTATTAAAATTTTTATTTTTATATTTTTTGGAGTAAACTTTTATTTGATCTTTAATAAATATGATAACTTTTGAAATGTCCACAGCATTTAATCTAATTTTTGATTGTTTTACAAGTCCTTCTAATTTTTCTAAAGGCTGATATAATATATGAACTGAATTTGAAAGTATACTAAGGTGCCATAACCATCGAATGTTGTGATTGGATGGCGAATCCAATATTCGTGCTATTAGCTTACCAAAATAATTAAAATGCATTATGTACTTGTCATTGTATGTTTCTTTGTTAGTATCAATCCAACTCTCAAATAGTTCTAAAATATTTTGGATTTGTTCTACAATATCTCTCGGAACTTCAAGATGATCCGCATTGACCTCATACTTAAAAAGAGCAATATTAAATAAAAAAATGAATCCTACCTTTGCTATTTTTATAGTTGGAAATAATAATACTTTATTGAATTGTTTTATTTTAATGTTTTGAAATTTACACAATTTAAAAGTAATTAAATATAATTGTTATACAATCTTCTGTTTAATAACATCTACTAGTCGATTTTTTAGTTTATAATTCGTTACAAATAAAGTCTTGGATAAACATTTTATACAAATTGCAATATTTTTCTCAAAATAAATTCATCGACAAACATTTACAAAAAAAAAATTATATTAACATTTTATTGTGGTGTTATTTCAGCTTATGCTAAAACAACGTGTTAACATATTGTTGATGTATATAATAAAATCTAAATTTAATGAATATCACACTGAAAATTTGTTTCAGTAAAATAAAAATTATATATCTTTACTTTAAATTTAATGTAATTAAAAAAAATGTTACATGAATATCGTAAAACTTTTTTTCAATAAAGTTTAAGGTTGTTCTCAAGTCTATAACATCTATAAAATAAAAACTTGTGTATATGTATTATTGATATTATTTTGTAACTCTTAAGCTTTTAATAATATTTTCTTTATTGAAAATAATATTCATTCATTTTTTTGAAAATTAATCTCTTCAAAAAAAAAGGATCTTACTTTATTACTAATGGCCCAATAACATTTGTGACCCCATAACTTTTCATAATTTAATTTCACTGATAATCTTAGGAGACTTCTCCTTTTATACTGTATTTGACTATTTAAATTTAATACCAAAATCTTTCTTCAAAATTCTTTAAAAACATTTTATTCTTTAAATGCAATTTAATGTTCACAAAGTCTAATACGTCTTGNTCTTCAAAATTCTTTAAAAACATTGTATTCTTTAAATGCAATTTAATGTTCACAAAGTCTAATACGTCTTGGTATCTTTAAAAATAATTGTATTGTGAATAGAGTAGTAATCCAAGCAAGAGTAAATTTAAAATCTAACAAAGGAAACCATAATTAGATTATATTTATTTTATTGTAATTATATTATATTTCTCCATATTAAACCGATATAAAGTTTCAAGGTGAAACTTACACAATAATTGACGTGTAAATTTACAGATCGTATTGGTGACTTCTTTCAATTTTGAATTCGGTTAATAATTCAAAGCGTAAAAATTATCCCAATTAAAATTGAAAATTGATGGACATCATAAAAAATTAGTTGAAATTATATTGAAGATTTATTTTTATAATCGTTTGCTTTAGCTGTTTTGCTTCAACCATTTTTACTAAGCAAACGAAAATGTAATTGTTTGTTCAGAAATCCTAGAGTTACATTTTATTATGATTTACATTATTTTTACATTGTTAAAATTTCGGATTTCAATAAATCATTAAAAATATAGTGATAAATAACTATAGAATCTCATTTTTTTTTTATCAGCATAGGTGTAAAGAAGTCAAATTTGGACGGAAGCTAAATTTAATTCCCCGCATACAAAAAATTATTTTTATAAAACAATGCATACAATTTTGATCAATTTCTGTAGGGGACTAAACACTCCTATCCTCCACCTTATGTGTATGCTCATTAGTTATTCTAAAATAAAGTTTAAAAATAATTTTTTTTTTAATAGTAAAAAAATATGTTATTTACATAAAGCAAAACTACTTAAATTATATAATATAGGTTGTCATCGGAGGGTATTAGCCCCTAAAATTGAAGAATTACTGCAAATGTTACAGTAACTGTTATTTCTTTTGATTATAACTATTTTTAATGAATATTTTCATCTGTTCTGATTTAATTTAAAATTGTTAAATATTCAGCCAACAGATAGCGATGTAAATCGTTCAGAGTTCATCCTGAGAGATGAGATAAGTTTGAATAAAGTGTCCGTGCAGGTAATTTCGCTAAGAATTATTCTAGCCTCTACAAAAATTCAATCAAATATTAGCTTATGCTATATAAGAAAAGTATTTTTTCGAAAACATTATTCATTTGATTTATTTTACTATTTTTATTTGAATAAATTATTTATGGAGATTTTATCTTTTTTGTGTGATGTATGTTACCTACGTTGTACTTTATAGTCTTTTGAGATATTACAATATTAGAGGGCATAATAGTGCACGTTTACAAAAGATCTATGATATTTAATTATCTTACATAATTTTACAAGACATTTGCTCTAGTTATACAATTTCTTCACATACTGTCGCTTAAATGTCAACAAAAGTAATAAGTAATAATCAAATAAAGAAAATCAAATTTTTGTTTGCTAAAAAAATTTTTGTATAGTGTTTTAATCGAATAAAGCATAAAATTGAATTTTAAGGTAGATTTGGAGTAATTAAAATTTTTAATAATACTAGCGGGTTACATATTTTAAAATAATAATATATAAAGTCTATATTTATTTAAATTATCAACAAAGCGTCAATTTTTTATTTAAAAGAAACTGAAAAGAGATAAAAATTACGATAGTTTTGTACTTAACCATTCATATGTTATTTGATGCAATATAGTAATCTTTCCACTGTATGAGAAACATATGTTTGCGTAGTAGAAATCTAACTTCGATTTTGTCATCATTATTCTCCTCTAGTTTATCTTCGAACTCTGGAAGACAATTCTGGTTCAAATAATTTTTAACTTTTGTGTATTCTTCGGTAAATTTATTGTGAAAACTTACGGGATCAAGATATTTATTCAAGAGTAAACTATAAAGGTTATTTAAAGATTTAACAAAATCATTTTTGTTTTCTTCTTGGAAATTTACTTTCGACATTAATTTTGTCATTTCGGGTATAAAATAAAGTATTCTATTGCGATTTTCTATGTACGTAGAAATGTTACCTTTGTTTTGTACAAGCGTATTCAGTTGTAAGTACAAATATCTGATATATTCAGCAAAGACACATCCAAGAAAAGTTTGTAATTGAATCGCTTTTTCTTTAATTTCTTCATTAGAAGATTGTTCGTTTAAATCGTTAAATGAAGAATAAAAATTTTCCATGGGTACTTGTTTGGAATTATTATTTAATTTATATTTTATACCTGTAAACGGATGCATCACCTCTCTGAATTCGATTTCTGAGGCAATATATTTAAGTTCATGTATCATTTTTTCTTTTGTGGGTTTCTGTACTTCTGTGTATTTATTATTATTTGTTTTGCCAAACTCAAAGACGACAAAGGTGGCAAAGGTAACATCGAGTACAATAAGAAGAATAAAATATTTCAAAATCATTTTTGATCAATATTATTAAAGCAAAGTACAGTTAAAAAAATGAAATGTAACTTTTTATTTAACTAATTTTTTTTCAAAAATTTTAATAGTTTTATTTTAGCTTCGATGCGAAGCGGAGAAGGTATTAATTTTACTATGATGTGTTTTTTTTTTTTTTTTTTTTTTTTTTTTTT